CAAACCGTACCAACAAACGTACCTGGCATGCGGTTTGAATTTATAAAGTGCATCATCATCATTGTATAGCGAGAAACAGTGAAGCGAGCTTCACTGTTCGCTTCCAAGCTCACAATGTACACAAATCAAGTGATAAAGCACAAGATGGAGAGGGATTGGCCCTACTTGGAGGAAGGCAAAGAAAAAGAACCTCTATGTTCAGCACACGGAGTACACAATCTAAGTGTTCATGCATACTTTTTCCAAGCATTCTGACTTGGTAAGAAATGACAACAAGAACGCCACTGCTGTCAGTCGCCATATCCTACAATGTCTCCAGCCAGACAGTTGCAGAGTCTTTCTGACCCCAACCTGGAAGACGAGAGACACCGATTCTACCTAATCGCTCTGTGCATTTCTCCATGCCTCGCTTCCACGTCATCCGTTGACCTCCACGCAGTTTCTTCCTACCTGGAGTCGCCACTGTGAATAAGACGCAATGCGGTAGACGATGGCTGGGCATGCGTAAAAGGTGTCCTAATCAGCGAAGCCGACTAATCTGAATTCGATGGGACAACGAATTCTCTATGGAATCATTACCAAATACGCCACGCCTCACCTCAGAGTTGCTTACAAGCTCTCTCCATCCAACCCTAGCCAAACTACGTAAACATCTGCAGTCGAATACTTTAATACGACGAATATCTTCCACGCACAAATTTAAGGTCTCGCAACCATAGAGCAGAACTGGCCGCACACTGGCCAAGTATATGCGAAACATCGCGTCTGCACTAAAGGGATATCAATCCTGCGTAAGCTGCTCAACCCTATAAATGCGGGCGGTTACTTCATTGACTATGCTACCGTCATTTTAAACGCAGCCACCCAAGCATGTGAACCATTACACTCTAGTTAATTCTTGACCATCAATTCATCAGCGCTTTCAGACGACACCCAGTCTTGTTGCATCACTTTGCACTTTGAATATGCAAGGCGCATGATTTATAAGTGATCTTGCTCTTGATTCGTTTTGATAAGTCAAAATGAGATATCTCGGAAGATTTCACATTATATTCCCCTATTTTTACCGTTTTTTGTTTAACCCGTGAAATATCGCAAGATGTCATAGTAAAACCTCTGACCTCTTTTACTAGTCATTGAGAAAAGTCTTCGATGTTTAGAAGTTTTATAGGTTGTCCTTTTGGTAATTTTTCCTCTANCCTCTACGGATACCAGTTCCTTTTTGTGCCTTTTTTAGTTCATTTTAACTTGTTGATAAAATGGAACCCAGACGTGATCACTGTGGTATGAGTCAGTGTCAGAAACAGGTGCAAAGTGGTATACAGTGTGGTTATTGCAGGGCATGGTACTACAAAAGATGCTGCAAATTATCCAAGCAGGACTATTTACTTCATAGGTAATTTCCATCTCTCAAAGGAATATGTAGCCATTGTGTTTCTTTAGCGGAAGAGTGCGCTCGCATATTAAAGGGAGCAGTGCCAAAGGGAGCAAACAAAACGGACCCACCAGTTACAATCAGAACCACCAAAGGAGGGGGTGAACAAACAAGGGAAACCGTTATCCAAAACGTAAGTAGGTTAGGGAAAGTAGCGCAAATCCAAAAGCCGAATCCAGTTGAGGCGGCAGAAGTAGCCATTCTTTCTGCCCAAATCGAGGCACTGGAGAAAGAATTGAAAACATTAAAGCAAACACAGCAAGTCCTTTTGTGTGGAATGAATCATGTATTGCTGCTTAATATCACGGAGCCTACCATACGGGATAGTAAGGTTAGACATGAATCCGATACGGGGCATGCCCAACATATCTTCAGGCTAGCTGGCATTTCTCTCTCTCAACGCGTTACGCAAAATGGCACCGCGTTGTCTTTGGAGGGAAGTTAAAGATCAACAACCAACACAAATATTAGCGGTCTTCAGTAACACATATGAGAGACCTGGTCCTAGTAAAACCAACCAGAATAGAGATAAATACCCGAGGAGCTATAAGAGTAACTCCAGATGACGGGACCACTATGAATCCGGCCCTGAAGAAGTATACCAGCATCACGGAAGCGAGAGTCAAGGAACCCCGTGTAGTAATAGAAAAGGGTGAGCACATTACCGATGGGGTGGAACCCCATCCCGACCTGCATGAGAAACAGGCAAAGCAGCGGTCCCCCTGCCGAGCAAATTCACACCACACACGGTGAGGCTGGTGGGAAAAGCCGTCAGAAATCATTGACTAGTGGAAACAACACCAATGGTCGACCAAAATAAACAGTCCACGGAAAAACCGGAAGCGGGAAATACCCTAGGAGTAAAAACTCCGAAGATGAATTGCGGACGAAGATCTGGGCAATCATTAGGGCCAGTGTGCCTCCCGATTAAATCAACGAGTAACGCGTAGCCGAATTCGGATCCCAAAAGGTCAATAAAACGAACGATCCTGTAATGTTCTAAGGTACTGCAATATTAAACGATCAAATAAGAAAATAAAATATGTACAAATCTCAAAGTGATCTCGGAATAATATGAAAGCATAAGCAAGTGTCACTGTGAGCGTAATTCAATAAATATGAAGGGAAGAAAATGATTCTAGTTAAAAATAGCAACCCTAACGTCACGCTCCACTTGAAGAGGTCAAATATGAGCGGTCGTGTGCAATTAAAAAAAATACGGTACGAATGAAGCAGTAAAACAAACAAATTCAGATAGTACGAAAGATATCTAAATATACAATGGAAGTGGAAAGTCAAATGTCTATGGATGCATGGGGCGGATGATGTTAGATTAATGGAACGTGAAATTTACGAAATGCAGAACCCAGGTGGAGTGGCTGCAATTTACAGGAAGGATTTTCACAAATGGATCAAAACACCGCCAGGCCAAATTACCGCTCGCGTCAGACCTTCAAAGAAAAATTCAAGGGAGGGCCAATGCCCACCCCAATTACGTGAGCCTATCGGTCGTTGTCCCATTCTATCAAGCCCATTGTTGTGCTATTCGTCTTCGCCAGCTCACGAAGTTAGACAAAAACCGTTTTCCATGAATCATAACGCCTCCATCGCTCTCTCACAAGTAGCACAGGAGGTTGACCACAAGCCTTTCTCCATGATTCAGCGTGCCTCTCGCGCTGATCCGGAGGATGACTTTGCTCGCTGATTTCTGTGGTGATTCATCTCTACGAGATTACGCCTGCCCTGGAGCAGCGCGGTACAGTTTCCGGACATTGGTAGTCAATCGACCTTGAGCGCTGACGCCAGTAGCACGTGCACAGCCTCCGGATACACGTCATCGGTGGACCGTTCCAGCCAATCAGATGCAATGCAGAGAACAGCAGTATGACGCAAGATGTGATGCAATATGATTGGTGGAAACTAAGGTAACCAATGATCTTCTTTTGTGCACATATATATTCACTTTCATTTCCGTCAGTAAACGACTTTGTGACTCGCCTGTCTTGTGGCCTTTGTCCTCGCGTCTCGACCCTGCGGGTTATTGCGAGTTCGAGCCATTGCGGTCTAGTGCCACCGGATTTCTAATTCGTGTTCCATGATTTATATTGCGTAGTTCGTGTCCTGAATTCTGTGCGTATTCTCACTACTACTCCTACGATCACCACAAATAGTCGTCGTACAATGGAGCCTCCAAGTATTGAACAATTGAACCTGCAAACCAGTCCATCCGAGATCGAGGAATGGGTCGAACGGTTTGAACTGTGGTGCAGTATTCGAAAAGGTGGTGTGCAAAACCAACCGGCTCTATTTCTCACTGCTGGGGGCCGTGATCTGTATTCGCTGCTAAAAAAATCTGGCATTTCCCGAGGTTCCCGCTAAACTACCATATGAGTCCTTGAAATTGCTCCTGCTCAACCACCTGTTGC